GGGACAGATGTAATCTGTATATGGGTAGGCAGTTTTTTAAAATTTAAATCAATTTTTATTTATTTTTATTTAAATCAATCTGCAAAATGTCACTAAAAGAGGTCTTAAAAAGTAGCTGAGAAATCAGATATAAAAATCATATAATAACCAGGAATCGATCCGAACAGATGTGAATAAATAATTATACGAATGAGATAGTGTCCTATTACCTATATTTCCATTGCCACAAAAAAGACAGATGTAGCATTAGCAGAGTGATCCAAACCTGCATGAATCTATAAGATCTGAAAGCACGGTCTTGGCTAAATGCTAAAAAGTGTCAGGTACAGCAGCTTAGCTCTACTTTATAAGATAAATCCCGACAGTTTACAAAACCAAGATCAGGAAAAAAGCAAAGTGTAAAGGTGTTTAAAATTTAGCATCAGCAGCACAGCACTGGGTACCCCCAAAGTCAGAACTTTCCTGAGCACAAATAGGTCAGGTAGTATGAAAAGCACTTTTTACTTAATTCCTCAGAATCTCTGTAATAACTCAACAAACTATATACTATTAAATGTCCCCATTTTACAAGTAAGGGCATGAAGACAGAAAAATTAAGTGGTATGTATAAAGTTACCCAGCTAATAAACTGTTCGACAGCAAATGAAACCCATGCAGGCTAGTCCTGCAACCTGAACTCTTAATCATTTTGCTGTCTGCCCCAAGAGCAGAGCGTGCTAGTAAACAGGAGATTACATAGTACTTCTGTGCTTCTCATTCAGGCAGACTTTGTGCTGCAACATTAGAAACGCACCTTTTGTATAGGTTTAGTTTCTGTTAAACAAGTAGAGTTTAAATGGAATGCTGAGTTTCCTCACATAATTTTCTTTTTCACACTGAATTAGCTGTCTCTAGAAACCAAAGCAGGGAGGCTAAGGCTCAAAGGCACAGGGATAAAGGCACCAGGCTGAGAGTCAGATCTAGATTCTAATCTATTTTCCGCCACTAACTCACCAGGTGAATGTGGCCCTTTCATTTGTCCTCAATAATACTGAAGTTTATTCATGTCTAAGGCCACATTAAATGTTCAAACGTAATAACCTGGGTAGGCTTTTTCAATAAAACGGTAACATTTTACAAATATTTATGTTGAGTACTCAGCTAATTGGACTTTCTATTTCCATATATTACTCGTGCATATAAATTTATGGTTTTCCCTTTGTATGTCGAAGTGAAAGATAAATAAATAAATCATGACAGACATGCAAATGGCACGTACTATTTTCTTATCGTAGGACTCTCCACTGCTGTAGGTTGTGGCCAGCGTGGAAGAACACTCTTCCAGGTACCAAGGCTTCTTTCCACTCTCAGCTGTGCTGCTGATGGAGATAGTGTAGATGCTGTTGGTGTAGCCGTCACAGGAGCAGTGGTCTTTGCTCCTTCCGCCATTTCCTGATGCCCAGACAAAAACAGAGCCGAGGCCTCTTCGCCCCTGTTCACGAATAGAAAAAGTGAAAAATTTAAATGATGGAAGACAAGGATCACAAACTCTAGATGAACAGAAACCAAAATCGCAGGGCAGAATCAGATATCTGTAGGAGAGGTGTGATGCTATTTTAATAACATGTTGAATTTAAGCTGGTTTTTGATGTAAGAGGAGTTGCTCTTACAAACTAAAATCATCCAAAGTACAGAATGCTGACCATAGTCAATAATACTGTATTGTATATTTGAAAGTTGCTAATAGAGTAAATCTTAAAAGTTCTCATCACAGTAAAAAAAGAAAAACCTGAAACTATGTGTGGGGATGGAAGTTAACTAGACTCACTGTCATGATCATTTTACAGTATGTACAAATTATCAAACCATTAATGTTGTACACTTGAAACTAATATAATGTTATATGCCAATTATATCCTAATAAAAAAAAAGAAACTAAAATAATCCCCTTCACATGATATAGGCATAGAAGTAACAAGAGGACCAGTGATGACAATAATAACAGCAATGTTTTATAGGTATATACCATGGACAAAGTACAATTCTAAATGTTTTACATGAATTGGAATGAGTTCCTCTAATAACTCTGTGAGATGGTACAGTTTTTGTCCCCATTGTACAGATAATTAAGATACAGAAGTTAAGTAATGTTCCTAAGGTCATAGGTAGTACGTAGAAGGACAAAATTTGAACCCTGACAGCCAGACTCTCAGAGTTGTAATTTTATTATTTATAAATCACCACAGTCATGTAATAGTGCTTTAAAATATTTATCTCCACCATGAAGGGGATGCTATTGTGCACCCTCATTTAACATGAGGTATAGAGAGTTTATGAATTTGTCCTGAGATCACAACATCAGTGAGTGGCAGAATCAGATACTATATCCTTCCTTCTAGAGCTGTGCCTCTCCTGTGCATGGTGTGGACACTAATTACTAAGGGATATTTATGATGCTACCGGAAAGAAAAGGATTTAAAGATCAAAAGTTTGAGTTAAGCAAAAATAAACAGGTTCTTTTACTATGGAACTTTTAAGAGCCTTTAATGAGACAACATGAATGGACCTAGAGGATATTATGCAAAGTGCAATAAGTCGGACAGAGAAAGACAAATACCATATGATTTCACTTATATGTGGAATCTAAAGGACAAAATAAACGAACAAATGAAACAAAAATAGACTCAGAGATAGAGAACAAACTGGTGATTGCCAGACTTGAGGGGGGCGCTAAAGGTCTGGGTGAAAAAGTGAAAGGATTAAGTACAGATTGGTAGTTAAAAATGGTCATGGGGATGCAGGGTACAGCATAGGGAACATGGTCAATAATATTCTAATAACTATGTATGGTGTCAGGTGGGTACTAGAATTATTGGAGGAATCACTTTGTAAATTATATGTGTCTAAGCATTATGTTGTACACCTGAAACTAATATAAAAAATAATATTGAATGTCAACTGTAATTGCAAAATAAAAGTTCAGGTAGTAATTGCAAAAAAAAAAAAAAAAGTGATCATTCATTGTAAAACCCTAAGAAGGGAGCAAAATCCAAAGTAATTTCTAAACATATTTGACTATAGATACTTTCTTCAACCTGGCCCATGAAGTTTTTCTTACATGGCAAGGAGATGGAATCATGTTCTTTGTGCCTAACCTTGGCATAAACTAACATAATTAAATTGAAGAACCAAGTTAAACTTAGATGTACTGAAGCACAATGACTATTTGGTTCTATAAGATGAGGTCTTTGGGAACACAGAGAAATAAGGCAAACTGAAGAGTATTCCTGGAAGTAGTTAAGCTGAGTCCCTGAGAAATTTTACTATCTTAAAACTGCTATCTGGAGGACTCTGGAGGACACGCAGGCCAAATCTACCATTTTGTAAAATTAGGAAGTGGAAACCAAAGTCACATAGCTAGTGATGGCTGAGACTCTTCCTTCTAGGC